TATATATATATAATTTAGGAGGTGGGCTGCAAAAATCCTGCCTATGGGGCTAACACTAGCTGACTGGGACACAAATCCCCTAAAGAAATACTGCAGTTTTCGAAAATGTAAATATCCTCAGGCGGGGATCGAACACAAGTGCCTTGTTGACCATAGTGTATAACTTAATTATTACACCACAAGCACCCACAAACCATTGTGAAAACAGTTGAAACTGTCCAAGACGGCCGCCCATTATCGAGGAGAATTATGATTGTCTCAGGCGATCGTCTTGAGCTGTTTCATTATATCTTTAATGAAACGCAAAGGAAAGGGGGGGGGGGTCGAAGCGTGATTGTCTTGGACAGGTGGCAGTTAGAACAGGTTCAGATTTAGTAAGCGTTTTACAGCACTTGCAACACAATCAGATTATATAAGTGCCTACTATTTGAAGTGTTACAAGATAGTAACAAACACAAAAAAGAATGAGGAGAGATACAGAAAATAAGTGTTTTAGAGGAAAGAAAGAAGGAGCAAACTATTCCAGAGCACCCGCCAACCACCCACATAAAAAAATTCGACTGTATTATATCAGTCAAATAAAAATTTTAAAAAACCCCAACTGTACAGGTTACAAATCGTGATTTAGACGTTTGTAGTCGTGTTTAATTAAGATCCAAATCATCCTGATGGCAAGCGTGATGCGAGGATTTGACCATCGTTATCAATGTCAGAATCCAGGTCATCGTATTGAGTTAATCCGATTAACACAGGATTTGGGGTAGTTTTGGGTGCATTTGAGGGTACTATCCGTGCTACCAACGTTGCCACCTTAAAGTTCAAGTCACCAAAATAAGGCTAATGTATTACAAATGAACAGCACAGGGTAGTTTTACTGTTGAATAAGTCTACACGATTTTGAGCTTTTGTCCTACTTTATATTATTGTTTACTTATACCTGAGTCATCGACAACAGATGGCTTGCAACCAGGTCACTCTTTTGCTCTGTTTCCCCTACTTGTGATAATAAAATGAAAAATAGCATTTGTAAAACACATATGACTGTTCGATAGCAAGCTGTGTGCGCTTTAAACTATAATAAATATTACCCAAGCAGACCCTAGAAAATAAATTCAAAAACAGTGTCAGCATCTCAGGAAGCATACAGTGCATGCAGCTCATCAAGCGCTCAAACACTAAACAAGCTGACAAAAGTTTTCGTTGTATATTGCTGGGTACTCCTTCCCACCGAGGTGAAATGAAGACAATTTCAGGTAAAGTGCCTTTCTCAAGACATAGCGTCGGGCCCTTAACGGGATTCGAACTCACGACTGACGGTTGTGAGCTCTAGACCGTTACCACTAGAATGCCTTCTCGTAATTACTTGTCTTTCTTTCAGTGGGATAATGGTTGGGTGCTTCCCATGCTCCAAAATGAAAAACGATCCCTCCAGATTTGGGTAAACGTTGTGTCGAGTACCTTCGTTTTTCTCCTGTATGTAGCATCCAACAAAGTTCGGTTTGACCTCAATAGTCGAAGCATTATTATGCTCTAAAAAGGTAGCATTCTTTCTGAAGGTGACACGCTTATGCCATGAAAAAAATAAGAAAAGGAAAAGACCTCTGTATCTTTCTTGTGCAAAGCTTCGCTTTATAATTGTAAATACATGAGCATTTAAAAAATCAGCGCCACTGCTTTTTAGTCATATCAAATACCCAAACA